GAGTTTGAACTCAAAGGTTGCTTGGAAAGAAGGTGAGTACCTCTAAATTTTAATTCTCTAAAATTTAATTTAAAGCATGGCAAAGCATGAGAAATGTGTGTATGTGTGCATGTGTGAGGTCCTTCTCCTGATCACAGCTGTATCTTGGTGTGTTTTACCAAGAGAGCCTGGAAAGTATTAGGTCAGGCCAGAGCACATGACCTTCTGTTAGGGAAAGGAGAGTGTGTGTGAAAATGGATGGAAAAATGAATGAAAATTTTGTTGTTGCTGCTGTTGTCTTGTGAGAGCAAAAAAAAGCAAAGGCTCATTGTGTGTAAAGGAAGAAAGTGCAGGTACTAACTGAAAGGGACAGAGGTCCTCCACAGATTACCTTTTTGATCTGTAAAATCCTAGCGGAAATTCCCTGGTAGATGCCATGCTGCTGTGCCACTGCCTGGAAGTTCAGTAGCCCCCCACCCCAGGTGTCCAGAGACCAGGCAGAAGTCTGGCCTCTTCTTTTGCTGCTGAAGATCAAGTAGACTGGTACTGCACTCGCTCTCAGCCAGCCATGGCCAAGCTGGTAGAGGACTACTGCTCCCACTGCTTTTTTGCCCTTGTTCATTCCATTTCTCTGTTTAGGTTAAAAAAAACTAACTATAAAATGATGATCCAACAGGACATGGGTTGTTTAATTAGATTCAAATGAAGATTCTTTTTTCATTGTACATTGTACCCAATGTGTGGGTTTTTTTTCTTTGCTAATTCTATCCTCATTCTTTCATGCCCCCAACCCCAATGTTTTCTTGTGATCAGAACATTTTTAGGAAATTTATATCTTTAGCTGAAAGTCAAAGTATTGCCTGCTGAACCCAATATGGTGGTTAAACAGCCATACTTTTGCCAGACAATTATGCTGTGTCAAAGATAATTCAGGTTTATTTATTCATATCACACTTTATTATTTTTTGAAATAACAGCGCAGTGAACCACCTTTCTCCTTACTTTCCTCATAACAACCCTGGTGAGGTGAGTTGGGCTGAGAGAACAATTGGCTTATTTATATAATTTATTTGCTGTCCATCTCATAGCAAATAACTCTAGGCAGCTTCCAGCATTAAATGCTTTTCATGGCCAAGGCTAGGGTTAGTCTAGAACTCACTGTCTTCCGGTTTCTAGCCCTGGTGCCTTAACCACTAGACCAAACTAGCTCTAATAGCCAAATAGTTGCCTAGATTGAGGAAACCACACCAGATATAAGTAGAAGCTGAAGCCAATAAAGAGACATTGTTACAGAGTTCCCATAAAAATTGCAATATAAGCTGTAAAATACACTTAATAGTTTTTAAAAAGCCATCATTCTCTATTCCTCCCGCCCTCTCCAACAAAAATAAAACATGATTAAGGACCATGATGGAAGCTTTGTACATTATTCCACAAGTAGAGATTTTATTATAACAATGACCTCCTTCAAAAACATAGCTGTACAATTTAGCCCTTCCACATAGCAAAGAAGTGTGTCAGGGTAACAATGCATGAATGTTTTACAAGCTTGGAAAGGATCGGGATACATTCAACTTGGAGGTCTCTACTTTATGAGGGTTTGCAGTTCACACAAAATTATGCCTGTGAGTAAAGCTCTACCCCAAACTCAAATTATTTTCCTGCGTTGGCAGCCATTTCTGTAGAGGATGACTTTCTTGTGTGAATGACTAAGAACTGTAGAGCAGGGGTGCGAAACTTGCGGCCCGGATGGATCACATGCCGGTTTAGCGAATGGGGAAAAAATCCCGATACATCATGTGTAGCAGTAGAGGGTTCAACTTCTCCGATGCAGGAGGGGGGAAGAGACCTACTCGCACAATACACTTCCCCCTTGAAATATTGAGCCCAATATTGTGCTTCCCCTTTACAGACCTTGTGTAATACCTTTACAGGTGCTCTTTACTAATATCACTCTATATTATATTCGATGTAATCAATAGGCATCAAAAATTATTTGATGGCACACAATGCATCTACCCACATCCAATGCTCTGCCCAGTTCAGAACCACAAAGTACCTGTGGGTCAGAAAGCTTAAGTTACCATTGTTCATAGGGACTTTTATGTTTGACATCTGTTTACTTCTCTCAATTAGTGGGAAAGAATTGTGTGGTTCTTGCCTCACAATCAGGAGGCTGTGAGTTTGATCCTAGGTAGAGGCAAATATTTCTCTCTGTGGGCACACTGAGACTATATCATTAAACGAAGATGATGATATGACTTCTAAGAAGAATATTTGTAAGTGAGCTTGACTATTTTTCTAGCTTCCCCACAAATATACAACAATAATGCCATTCTATTAAGTAATACGATTCTTAAAGCTGTGGAACCCTTCAAGTTCTGGTGCAGTGCTCAGGATAAGCCCAAAGTACAGGCAGTCCTTGGTTAATGAGGGGAATGGACTGGGAATGAGAACCCATCACAACATGGCATGGTCATAGAGTGTGACATCACATGACTGTGCTGGCTTATGCCAGTAGCTCCAGAGGTTCCACACAGTTGTTAAGTATGTCACCAGGGGTGACCTCCTGCCAGCTTCTCCACTGACATTACTTTCAGAAGCCAGCAAGGGAGATCATGTGACCATTGTAAATGGTGAGCTGGTTGCCAGTGACTGAATTGCAATCATGTGACTCCAGGGATGTTGCAAAGGCCTCAAGTCTTTTCCTTCACCACTGACATCACTCAGAATGACTGCTGAAGGAATGGTCATTAACCAAATATTATCTGTAATCCTTTTAAGCATGCAGAGCCCTGCTAGAAAGAGAATATCAGGATGTAGGGCTTTACAATTGAATTGAAAGAAAAAAAATGTCATTTAAATTTATTTCCCACCTTTAAAATACTATTATATCGAACTATTCTTCATTAAAACTCTACCTTATTTGGTATTATATTTAAAGCAATAAATAGACTAACAGATATCACCTTCTTAACAACAGAAGGAAAAGACAACCCTATCCATCATATCTAATGATGATGCATTACTGGGATTGTTTAAAGATAATCTTAGAAAACTAGACTATCCAAGAATTGGTATAAAAGCTCTTTAAGAAAGGCTGTTTAGACTTCAAGCAATTTTAATACTTATGAGTCTACAACTATTAGTAAAGTAGAATAAAATATGGATTAAAAATATAAGAATGAAGACGTGGTATAAAAGGGACAATTAGAAGTCTGCTAAAAGGAGATGTCATCAGCCTCTAACCACAAGATGCTCTAGCCAACGTCCCTATGTCAAAAGTCCAAACCACAAGGTTTAGATAAAGTTCGTTAATGACACGTAATCCATACCTGTAACAAAAGGAGAAGACCGTCATCTACTTATAAGGCTTTCCCCNCCCCAGGGGTGTTCAAACTTGACAGCTTTAAGACTTGTGGACTTCAACTCCCAGAATTCCTCCTCTCGCTCTTCATCTTGATGATGTGCGGACAGGTGGGGGGTGGGGGTGAAGCTGGAACCAGTTCT